AGATTTTTAACATTCAAAATACTGTCAGTGCATTTATTGTGGTCTCTTAACTTAAAAGAACGCTGTAGTTGAGTGAAAGAGATACTAAAATTCCATGACTTTTCCAAAACTTTCATTGAATTTACAACATTTTTTAAATGACATTTTCAATTTCCATGACTTGTCCAAGACTTCCATGACTGTGGCAACCCTGCTTTATCGACATTTCAGTGTTTTTGAATGAAATATCTAAACCAAAAATGTTTTGTTAATAATTTAGTTTCAAATTTTTGAGACATTTATTGTATCATTTCAGTTGCGATTTCATATAAGTTTAAATACTCTTTCTTTTTTTCACAAATCTTTCGGAACATGCGCCATTGTTTTTTGCATTTCTTTTTAATACATGTAGATATAAAAATCTATTCATCAAATCAAGTCAGTCTATCTCTTTAACCTCCACTGATTAACCTTCAACCATTAATACGTGGTGAAAATGGTTCCAAGAATTAAGTAGAAAAATGACATTATGCGTTCAAGTACGTCATTGTTGCATCATTGGAGAAAACTCAAAATGATTAAAGAGTAAGACTAGACATGAGGGACAATAAGGACTAAAAGCATCTGTTTTGGTGGAAGCTTTGAAAAGGAAACTGCCATCAAGGTCTGTCTGTGTCACACACTTAAAACGTTACAAAATATGTCAAAAGGTTGGAGGTGGGCGCTGTTTGAATTCAAACGTGGCACTGAGAGCACTACTTCAACTGTGGGTAAATATAAGACTAGAAATGCTTATTCATTTATAAAAATAAAAGCTATTGTGCAGAGTCTGTCAGCTGCACCGTATAGAAATCAGTCACTGGTCTTATTCAGTTATATATTTTTTTGAACCTATTAAACAACTTTTGACCATAGTCCACGTCTTTATACAGTCTAAGTCAGTGTGACGTCACCCATAGTGTTTGGCTCCAGTCAAATGACGCTCACAAGGCAGCAGTTACAGGAGCGGATTTGGAGCAGAGTTCCATATTTGGAATTCCGACCGCGAGTTTGTTATTAATGTTCATATCTTGATTTATAAAAATACTAGGATCATATAGAGCGGGTTAATACAAACATTTAAAGGTGATGAGCCTGACAGCAGCAGTTACGAAGAGAAGGGCAACAGTTTTTAAAAAATGAATTGGAGCCAGAATCAATGGATGTAGACCTAGACCTCGACAAACTTTACTGATACACAAGGGTAATTATTTATTTATTCATTTTTTTATGACTTAGAAGTGCCCCCATGCTCACTTCCCATTTGGAACACAGTGGATAGCGGATTAGTTATGTCCAGGATTCCCACTCTTTTTCACTGACCAAATTTCAAAACTTTTCCATTACTTTTTCATGACCTAAAGTGAATTTAGTGAATTTATGCACCCTACATGTGTAGAATTGAGCATACGTTAGGGGGCAAAATTTGAAATGTTAAACCTTTCCACTCACCTTATGGTTTGGTATTATAGTTTTTTAACATTCAAAATCCTGTCAGTGCATTTATTGTTGTCTCTTTTAAACAAAAAGCGCAGATGTTCAGAAATAATCATAATAGCCTAATGATAACTTATCAGAACACTGCAGTTGCGTGTGAAAGAGATACAAAAATTCTGTGACTTTTCCAGGTCTGGAAAATGACATTTTGGATTTCGTTGAGTTTTCCAGGATTTCCATGACCGTGGGAACCCTGTATGTCCTTTAATTTAAACAGTCTATGCGCTTTTGACAATGTATTCCCCACTATGGCATTAATGTATCCACTTCTGTAAAGACAAGCAGAATTTGTTCATATTGCACTTAATATTTAACAAACAAATCTCAAAGTGCTATGACATCAATGGGCCAAGTTACAGGTTAGATCAGTGAACAGGCAATCCTGCTTCAAGTAAGAATGCATGTGTTTTTAGCAAAAAAAACAAAAAAAAACACTTCTAACTGCATAAATTAAAGATAGATATGTTTACGTAAACATTCAAAAAAAATTAATAACAGCTCAATGGAGACGAGAAAGTGGCTAACAACACTCCGTTAGAAAAATTACGTATTACATCTTTATAATTCTGAACAAAAACATCATCTTGTTATTTTCTTACGTTTCTTTGATCCGATGTCACTGTCTGAATCTGAGTCTGAAGCTGCTTTTGGTTTGGATTTCTGTCGGAGGAAATCATCTTCACTGTCACTGCCTTTCGCCGACTCTGAAAAACACAGAAGAAAATAAATATTACATAAAAGAAACTGCTGCAAAGTTACACAAGTCAAACTGCAGGGGAGTTAAATTTTAAAAATAAATCTTTCATAAATCTTCAAGCTGTGAGGTTAATCTTGGCACTACTTAATCCTCTCCTCATTTTCATTATGAAGATTAAAAGGTCCTATTGTATGCTAAATTGACTCCTGTGAGCTTTTAGCCATGTTATAATACTGTTACCTCCTCAAAAACATACCTGGAGTTGAGTTTTGTTTCATTCACACATGTTTGAGTAACCCTTTATTAATGGTGCTATCAGTCTAAATATGTAGGATTTGTGTGTTAAACATGTTTGAATGAAACAAAACACAACTCCAGGTATGTAACATGGTGTAATATGGGCCATTCAACGCCATTCAAAAGAGAACCTCAGACTGGGATTGTTGGCATTTTAGTTTCATTTAAAGACATTTGTGTTCCTGTAATAGTCTTGCTCTGGTTTT